GTTTTATTTACCATTTTCAAAATGAGCAAACCAAATAAGTAGTAGAAAAAACAATGTCATGTTTGAGATGTACTGTTTTGTTAATTTGGTTGTGGAGTTGCAGGATCAGTACCTGACCTACAATTTTTAATTCTCTGTGCTTTACATTGGGGGAATGTTTTGAAATTATTTAAAAATTCAGAACCTGGGAAATGTTCTTTACTCACGGACATGTGATGTTCTGAGTCACACGTTTTCAACCAGTTATTTGTAAAACAGACATGTCAAATTTTCTCAAAAAGCAGAGCACTTCCAAAGAAAGACACGTCTAATTTTTAAGCACGTGGAAAAAAATAATTTGTTGAAGTAGATTTTATATATGTCATGTATATGTTTACATTTTTATTTGTGATGGAAATATTGATTTAGAGACTGCAGATACTGTCATTTCTTTAATCCTGTCAGTATGTTTCTCTCTTCCAAACTTGGAACCACAGCTCTGTAAATCCTTAGGAACATCAAATTTAGGAACAGTGGAAATGAGGAATCAGTTATTAGAGTAAATCATTTTATGTTTTATGTTATGTAAATCATTTTATGTTTGAGTAGAAATAGATTAAAAAATAAAACCATTTTCCCTTTACTAGGAGTGAACACCCTGATACTATGAAGGTGCAGATGAAAATGATGTACTGTAGTATGTTATAAAGTAGATATTAGTGGTATGAAATCAGTCCAGAGAATAGTAACCTGGTTGACTTTGATTGACACTGACAAGCTGAAGGAGCGGAAACTTTTCTTGAACAGAGAGGATTGCAAGGGCACCAGATGCAAGCATTGAAAATCTCCGAAGACTTTGACAAAGTCACTGGCCCTCTGCACAATCAACAGTGAAATACTAACCAGAGGGCACAACTGGAAACTGTGCAGAGGTGAATTTATAACTGAGAACAGGAAACGCTTCTTCCGATGAAAGGTTATAGGTGACACGATCGTCATCGCTCCGCTAGAGGGCACTCCGTCCCTTTTGTGTTTTTTCATTATTACGTTCACCTGCCCCTTGTTCCGTTCATTATTTAAACCCGGTTCACCGGAAGCTCAGGGCTCTGCATTTGGAGATGGACTCCCGGAGGCCCGCCTAGCACCAAGTCGCCCTTCGTCCGCGGCTTGAGGGCACAGGCTTCTGATCAGGCGTCCAGACCAGTTGAGTCCGGGGCTCGGAGTGCCTGGCCTCGTCATTCTGTTTTTAATTTCCTTGTGCCTGTCCCTGATCCCGTTCCTGGTTTTAATCGTGTGTCTTGGATGGATCTCCCGGCACTTGGACCCTGACTGCGCCCTAGTTTCCCGTTTTGGACTTCCCTCTTCTGGACTTGTTCACCTGCCCTCCCCCATGCACCTGAATCACTGTCTGCACCGCCCCCTGTTCGCCATCCCTACCATTCCTATCCGTGTTTTCCCCGTAGTCCTTTTCCAATCACTTCTGGATTTTACTGTCTGCACAGGGTCCTAAACTACGCATTGTTACAGCTCTAATATTGCGACAGTCAGAACAGGCTCCCGTTACAATGGGAATCAGGAACATGCACCCCAGCCACAGTGCTGTAGCTTATACACTGTCCTCTTTTAAGAATTGGCTGGACGAGATGTTGTGACCATTTAGCTACTACAGAATAGATGGAGTCCTTTGGTTTGTAACCTTTCTTAAACTGCCAATTCATTTAATTGTCCATCTTTTAATATTCTACAAAATCTTCCTTGGCATACTCCACCTCACTGATGTTGGAGTTTACACATCACATGTAGTTATTTGATTCACAATGGAAAGTTTAATGCTGTGAAAATGTAATCAGCATTAATCACTTTCTGACTGTTTGCTCAGTAGGACTTTACATTAAACGAACTGAGAATGTTACTCTCTTCAGATTTTTCTCTCTCCAGATTTGATGTAACACTTTTGATTAGAATAAAATAGATAGTCAACAAAAAAGGGAAAACTCCACTATTTTTATCAGTCCTTGCTGTACATGGACCGAAGTCTAACACTACTGGAAGTTTATTAGAATAAAGATTAAAAGAAGTGCTAGACTTGTCAGATTAAATGGCAAATTTGGGATATCACGCTGCCGGAAATCTGACTTTAAACCCATTTCACAGTTGGTGTGTTGTAATTAGGAATCATAACATGCCTCATGTTGATCAGTCTTCTTCTGGCTTTGGTATATGGTCATGTACTGTATATACTGTATTATGATCATATTGATTGATCTTGGATTTATTTTGTTACAGCACTAACTTATGATTGCATAATTGGTTTTAATAGTAATAACCAATTCCTTTTTTAAAATGCCCTAACAGGTATCAAATGCTAAAATTATGGGATGACCCATCCTGGTTTGTAGAAAGAGGTATCCTGCTTAAAGTGTGTATAGAACAAAAGCAACTCTCAGAAACATACTGTACCTTACTAAGAACTGATACTTAAAACAGCCAGCAGCAATATCATCCTGCAGCTCACAACTAATAACCCACTTAAGCTCAGCAGGCTTGAGCCTGGTCAGTACCTGGATGGGAGACTTCCTGAGAAAAGTTTGCTGCTGGAAGTGTTGTTAGTGGGGCCAGTAGGGGGCACTCACCCTGCGGTCTGTGTGGGATCTAATGCCCCAGTATAGTGATGGGAACACTATAGTGTAAAAAGGCGCTGTCCTTCAGATGAGACGTAAAACCGAGGTCCTGACTCTCTGTGGTCATTAAAAATCCCAGGGCGTTTCTAGAAAAGAGTAGGGGTGTAACCCCAGTATCCTGGCCAAATTTCCCCCTGGCCTTTACCAATCATGGCCTCATCTCCGAACTGGCTTCATCACTCTGTTCTCCTCCCCACTGAGAGCTGGTGTGTGGGTAGAGTACTGGTGCACTATGGCTGCTGTCGCATCATCCAGGTGGGGCTGCACACTGGTGGAGGAAAGTCCCTGTTACCTGTAAGGCGCATTGAGTGGAGTGTCCAGGAAAGCGCTATATAAGTTGTTGTTATTATTATTATTATTATTATTACAGGTATACGTATGAAGCAGAGTATAGAGGCAGCTTCATAATTATGTAAACTCCACTGCACACCTCTGATGGGAAATAAATGGGACTGTTGTGTCCTAACTGTCTGTATTTTGCATTAATTTCCTCCCAATGTGGTCTGGCTTCCCATCCCAGTTGCAGTCCCAGGACAGGCGAAAGATGGGCATGGCTCTCCCCGGGAAGAAGCTGCTTTCTCAACGGATGAATTGATCATGTACACTGCACTTTAGAATAGGTGTCATTATGTCTTAGAATTTTTATATTTTTTCATAAAGGGTGACAAATCAGTCTATTTAAGGTCAGAAGTAGCACATAGAGGTTTCAGATCAATGATGTCTTCTGTCTTCTGAATAAAATGGCAAGGAGGACAGCAGTTTAGATTTAACACTAGCTTTAATTTTAGTAACTTTGTTACTGACATCAGATTATTTTTTAGGCACAGTTAATTTACTTTTGCATGGCTTCTTACAAGAGTGGTGTGAAGCACTTGGCTATTGATTCGCTTTCTGGTGTTTGTGTGGGAGTTGAAAACCCTGGGCATGGATACAAGGGAGAATGTAACATCAACACGGATTACACTGCAGTAGGCATGCCCTAGAAATCAACTAAGCAGATTTGTTTTTCATTCTTTTACTAACAAATAAGATATGCCATGTGCTCTATCTGTTAGTATACATTACAGAACTAAAAAAAGTAGCACAATGTTTTCTATAGATTAAAGTGACTCTTAACAAGTAC